AGATGATTTTTTATAGTGAAATTCCTTTCCAGTTTTCATTTCCGATTAAAGAAAAATGAAAACAAATGTGTTAGAGCCGTGTCTGAGCCATTTTCACTCTTGTGAGCTGTTTATGCGCATTTGCTTCACTCTCTCCTCCATATTAGACACTGTTATGTTTAAATGATGCCCATTATTTTCACTTTTAGTTTCACTATGCATGCTTTAAAATGTGTGACCTTAGAGAGTACTCCAAATAAACAATATGTATGCCAATCTTCATATATCCGGTAAATATCCATGGACTCCTATCGTTTATTCTTCAACTTATAAGCCGCAACTAAAATTTAAATTTTAAAATTTAATTTTAAACTTGATTTTTGGGTTCATTCATCATAGTTTACTTCCCAATATTTGTTTTTAAATTGCTAAGAAGAAAACATATATATATATATATATTTTATTTATAAATTATTTTTTATTGTTGATAATCAGTTAATCCCTCCGTCCCATAATATAAGGGTGTGTTTGGTTTGGGGACAAGTGGGATGGGTCTAACCCATCCCAGTTTTTTGGGATGGGATGGTTCCAATTGTGTGTTTGGTTTGTGGTATGGGATGGTTATAGTTTTTTGTTTGGTAGAAGGGATTGAGGTGGGATGGGATGAACAATTTTTCACGGACGTTAGGGCCGTCTGCTCCCAGCGGCTAGCTTCCAGGCTGCGGGTGAGATTGAGGACGAAGGAGCTCGTCGGCGCAAGTTGAGGAGCTCGTCGGCGCGAGCGGAGGAGAGGCGGAGGCGGGTCACGGACGAGCGGCGACGGTCGCGAAGGTGGCGGCGGGCGCGGACGAGCGGCGGCGGTCGCGGAGACGAGGCGAGCGCGGACGAGCAGCGGCAATTGGTCGCGGAGGCGGAGGTCGGACACGGACGAGGCGGCGGCGGTCGCGGAGGCGGAGGTCGGACGCGGACGAGGCGGCGGCGGTCGGTCGCGGAGGTGGAGGGAGCAAGCGAAGGAGGACGGAGCAGCGCCGGGGGAGGGAGCAAGCGGAGGAGGGACAGGCGGCGGTCAGGCGAGCGGCGGCCGGTCCCGGAGGCGAGGCGAGGCGCGAGCGAGCGGAGGCCGGTCCCGGAGGCGAGGTGAGGCGCGGACGAGCGGCGGCCGGTCCCGGAGGCGAGGTGAGGCGAGGCGCGGACGAGCGCGCCTCGCGGCGACGGTCGGTCGCGGACAAGGCGGCGGCCGGTCGCGGAGGCGGAGGTCGGACACGGACGAGGCGGCGGCGGTCGCAGACGAGCGGTGGCGGTCGCGGATGAGCGGCGGCAGTCGCGCGGAGGAGGACGGAGCGGCGCTGGGGGAGGGAGCAGGCGGAGGAGGGACGAGCGGCCGTGGCGGCGCTGCGGCGGAGCCGAGCGGGAGGCTGCGTGCGGGAGTTGACGCCGTTTTGTCCGTCGAAGTGGGATGGATTGGTCCGTCCGATTTTGGCGGACCATCTCATCCCGGATCTGAGAGGAATATTCCTCTCCAGGGACCATCCCATCCCACTCACCTCTCAACCAAACACCTCTAAAAGTGGGTTCATCCCATCCCATCCCATCCCATCCTTGCAACCAAACACTACCTAAGGGATTTTTAGTTTTTATTTGAACTGTTTGACCACTCGTCTTGTTCAATTTTTTTGGAATTATTATTTATTTTTTTGACTTAATTTATTATTTAAAGTACTTTAAGCACAACTTTTCGTTTTTAATATTTGCACAAATTTTTTGAATCAGACGAGTGGTGAAAGAGTTCAAACAAAAAAAACTCAAAATCTCTTATATTAGGGACGGAGGGAGTACAACTTATAATCAAAATAAGCGAAGCGATGACGGCGTGTTTTTCAAACTTGTACTCTAGGGAAATAATACATAATTTATACTTTGATTTCTAACTCAACATCTTTCACTTTGACGTATCCATCTATTGATGCTCGATCTGTTGTCGAAATCCGAGGTTAACAATGTCGCAAAAGAAACCACCGCACAAAGACGCGTTTGAATTTGGATCACGTGATTTAAAATTGAGGTCCCGCACATCACAACTACTGCAGTGTCAATTGTCATCAGTACGTACACACATATGCAATCGATGGCTTTGAGCATGGGTCGACGTCAGAAAAGAAGAGAGCAGACGATGCATAAGCCAGTTGGCAGGGTATGATGGAAAGCACACGCTACACAGAAACAAACAACAGCAACAACATATGTAGGCCGGTGAGAGAGGACATCCAACCTTCTTTTCACCTTTCTTCCTTTCTTTCTTTCTTTTGTTCTTCTTTTTCACTAATATACTTTTGTAGAGAGGAAAAACATGCCTTTACATCGTGTTTAGTTCCAAACTTTTCTTTTTCAAACTTTCAACTTTTCCATCACATCAAAACTTTCCTACACACATAAACTTTCAACTTTTCCGTCACATCGTTCTAATTTCAACCAAACTTCCAATTTTAACGTGAACTAAACACACCGTTAATTTTGTAGTACAAATAAAGCACTTCGATCTTGGTGAGTGATTTGAGCGGTGACAATATGCAAGGGAACCGAGGAAGCATTGGCTGTGCGGTGGTGGAATCGTGGGTGCATGGCTTCACTCACTAGAGTTTAAATCGTAGTGACTACGAATATTATACATGTATAGGTGAACTTTTAACAGGATTGTAATACGGGATCAGATATATGTCTCGCTGGAGCATGTGTTAGGGGGGCACATTCACGCTTCACGGGTGTGTGAGTATACTGTAATGTGTGTGCTTATCGTGTAATCGAAAAAGAAATGCAAGGGAACATTGCCACTGGCTGCATGGCTAGTACCCACTTTGGTACATTGATTTTAGCTTAGATTACTGGTTGATTTCCTAGGATTAAGCAGAAAGAATGTGCTACGAGTTGAGGAATCTTTTTGCCACGCCGGATCACCACACACAAATCCAGTTGTATAATTGAAAGTGCGATGTTGTGGTGTCAGCTATAGTTGTATAATTCAAAATGCGACGATCGACAGCCGCTTGATTGTTGTGGTTATCAGTCTCCCTTATCGAACCAGTTGTATTTAGAAATCGATCTGTAAATCAGCTAAATAAAAAAAAATAAAAATTCAGATTTTTACAGAATTCGTCCTAATCTACTCGGGTTTTATTAGTAACCGCTCGGTTATCGCGGTATCTAGGAAATCACTGATTAGTGATTTTTTATGATGGAACGATTGTGCAAACCCTGGTCACCACCCACCAGCTAGTCATCAAGGTTTCCATTGAATATGTTTCGCCGGCTAACAATGTTCCATTTTGATTTACTATTTGATATGCATCTTGAAATCTGATCTGCATTTTGTTCTGACCTGCATTTGGGATCAGGTAAGATCACTTCACACGGTTAATTAAGCTTCTAGGAAGTTCATTCTGTATCAACGTCTGAACATGCATGACATTTGGACATGGATCACTGATCTGTCTAAGTGGAAATTGTGCATCAGTAGACTATTAACTACTAACAGGCTGGGTGACAATTTTTGTTATGTATTACCTTGTAATTAAGTATATAACCACATCTTAATTATTCCCTGCATCTTTTGACCGAACCTTCCAAATCTCCCAACCTGGCTTGCTTGGGCCAAATCCTTGTTTCAATTTTGACCAGCCTCTGACCAACTTTTGCCAGCCTTGCCTTAATCCCCAGATTAACACCTCCCTAATCAGTAGTTAGCATCTCACACAACTGTGCTTTAATTTAATCATCACTTAACTGTGCTGATGCTAATGACAATTTGCATGCACTAACCATCAACTTAATGACAGAATTACAGTTGAGCTGCTTGGTACTCACCGACTTGATGTCTGCATAAAGGACGGCCGGTCAGGGAGGCAGGTAAAAAAGGGTCCAGCATCCATTGTCACATCACTTGACTTAATGAAGGGCAGAGACATGAAGAAGAAAATGCATCACAAGACAACAAGAAATTTAATTACTTCTTCTTCTACTACTACTACTACAGCTGAATTAAAGGCCCCCAAAAGTGCACTTGTTTAAGGACTTGTCAAGTACTCCAATGTCAGCTGGTAGCTGCCTGCAATGTGAAAGAGGGATGTAGTAGGAGTAGAGAATGGAAGAAGAAGATCCAAAAGGGTTGATGTGGGTGGGGCCCACATGCCAGCTGGGATCAAGCCCCCTCCCCCTACTGGCTAGATTCCACAGGGAGAAAGCACTGTGGGGCCCTGCTGTGATTAGGATATGGCAACAGATGAAACAATGATTGAGAGTGTGGAGGTGATTAGAGGGGATCCCATGATTAACACTGATCATGTTGTGTGCATCTAGGGGGATCTTGGTTGGAAATGCCAATGCTGGTAAAAGGAAGAAGTTATCTTTTCATTTCATTAGGTTGATGCATTATTGATGTAGTACTACCATTTTGTTGGTTCAAACACTTCAATTGTGTGTTGGTTGTAGGGGGGATTAGCTATGGTTATAGGAAGTGCACAATCGCCGACATGCCTATGAACTATATGGTATTAGTGACACAGGAAACACATGTTTTCCTTTTGCCGATCGATTATTTGGGAGAAGATAAAAATTATTGCATACTCCTCATAGTACATGTGCAGACTCTCTGCAGATATCAATGATGGATCAATTTCTCAAGAAGTCATAACAAAATGCAGATGATGATGGATCCATTTATTAAGACGTCATAACAAAATGCATATGGAGGCCATGGCATCGTTGCGGCTCAATTGGGTATATATCTTTAGTTTATTGATAACAAAAAATTTGCTCCAGTGACAAGGATCAACACAAAAATCTATGGCAAAAACTGGTGAAAGATGAAGTGAATGGGATATATATAACCATAGTAATATTGTCCCTCATCCTCTGATTGTCCCCAAGATTCTAAATCCATCCAGATTATAATGCGGATAACTTTTGACAACCAAAGGATTCTAAACTAACATAAACAACCACATCAAGAATACTAACGACATCGTCGATTATTGTTCAAAGAACATTTCTTGCATGCATGATGATTCCAGTACTCTTGATACAAAACAATGTCCACAAAAAAGGAAGGTGTTTTTCAAAATCCTCTCCAATCTCTACATACATAGTACATACATCCCCATGCATGCCAAATCCTACAAAGCCACTACCACTACTAACATCACTAGCACAATCCTCCTCTTTTTTTTTTCTACAGTTAGGGCATGCAACCAGCACACACAAAGGTCACACAGCTCCCCTGCCTTGCCATTTCCAGACATACTACACATATACTCCTCTGTCCTACAAGCATCACAACATCAAAACAAGTTCTTTGCCTAAACAATATGACACTGCATCTGGAAAAAGTTAAGCCTTGGAAAACCTTCTCCTTCCCTGTGCAGCTGGGCCCCACCTGCAGTGACAGACGGCAGAGGGGTAGAAAAGCGGAAAAAAAGATAGTGGCTTTTGTAGGATCAAGCCAAAGCCATGATCAAAGCCACACACACAGTCACACACAACATCCTCTTCTTTCTTCTTTGATGGCAATGATTGTGAGCTTGGGTTTGCTGCTGCTGGTGATGCTGATGCTGCAGGATGGGAGCAGAAAAGCGGAGTACACGTACGGCGGCTGGGCGTATGTACAGAAGGAGAGGTCGCCGCATTTATTATGGCTCGGCCTTCATGTGGTTTACTGTCGTCCCCTGCTGCTGCTGCCCCCCTGCGCCCAATTACCACCAACAGCGAAACTCAACAAACTTGGACAAACAAACCTACCGTACTGGAGTAGTATGACCACCACCACTCCACTACTGTAGTCCAGTAAAAAAAATAATCTTATTTTTGAACTTTTTTTAAAAAAAAAATTGAGTATTTTTAAAAATTCATGTATAATTTGTTAGGGATGTAAGGAGATGTGGTGGTTCGATTTCACTTACCGTAGAAGCCGTGAAGAGGAGGATGGTGCGGCAATGGCGAGGGAGAGGGTGCCATCGTTGCGATTGGACCGTCTTGGCTGAGTCCGGTGGTGGCTCCCATTTGCATAGCGGTGTGGAGGTCGAGCTCCCAGCAGTTGTAGACGGTGAATGGATCAGCAGTGGCGGGTGAGCCGGTGTAGGAGAACGCGGTGGTGGTGGTCGGATCGCTTGACGGGTATGCGGGTACTGGCATATGGCTCATCTGAAAATGATACCCCGAGTGCGGCGAATATAACATTTGCAAATTGAGGGACAATATCGTAATAGTACTCTGTGTCAACTGTCTCTCTAGATCAGATAAAAGTGTTTTCAGATGCTATACTTACATCTTTGGAAGGCATGTAATGGCTGTCAAAGTCCAGCTGAGGATTCATGGTCGCCAACTTCATGGACAAAAACTGTGAGACACACCAATGTCAAAATTTAGCTTTTGGGCTTAATTTCATACATAACTTCAAATAAGAGCTAGCTAGGACGACAGAAGGAGAACACAACAACATTTTTCTCCAACATATTTATTGTCATTAAAACAAGTTCATTTAGCACACTATTAAAGCAAATGCTTGCATTGGTACCTCGACCTGACGCTGCAGCGACTGCACATAGTTGATGATCTCGTCCAGCATGAGAGCCTTGCCGGTGATCTGCACACCGCAACATTCACATTTATTTGCTAACTAATTAACAAAACAAAAACAATAAACAATCATCTAGAAAAAAACTCAGCAATAAATTTTAAAAAGGTAAGAAAAGTTATCAACCAAATTTAAAATTCAACCCAAATTTGACCACCGGCGGTGGCATCACTACCGTGGCAATAATTGGGGCAACTAAAATAATCGTGCGCACCACCTAAACCACCAGGACCTTGCAATTGATTAGCCGGTTTGATTAGTTTAAGTACAGAGCAAGAGCCTCTCAGATTATTAACTAATCAATTATTATTATATCCTCTTGGACCACTGGGAGCTTAACTTAGGAGTACTACTAGTAGCTTACATGCATTACGGTCAAAATTACTACTGGCTGCATAGACTAACCACCGCAGTTAGTGCTCACACTTTCGGTACAAAAAAGATTATTATTTTTTTACTTAATTTTATCTATCCCAGTAGCAAAAAGTCCAACTCCTAGCTCTAGGCAATACTGAAACTAAAGTAATTGTATATATATTAAACTTAATTATTGCCACACAGGCAAGTCCGTTTTGTACGTTAGGTTACTATTCCCCCTTAATGCGCGTCCTCGAAAATACATTTTTGACCACTAATTTTCAGTACTGCCCCGTATAACGGAATTCTAATATTACAAATTAGTACAACTGCTTTTGATATTAATTAAACTCTAAAACTAGAATTTTAAATTTTGAGTGTAATTTGGAGCGGGAAAAAAAAGAAGCCACTTGTTTGGATACATGAATTTGGAGGAAATTTAAGAATGAGATTAGCCGCTGGAGTGTGTTTGTGTTCATACTACCTTGTTGCAGCCTGGCACGAGCGACTGCAGAAGCTTCATCCTCTCGCTTATCCTCTCCCTCCTCACCTACCAATATTAAACAAAACACAAAGCTAATTAAAATTTTAATAATAATTAAGCGTCCTTGCAACTCAATAAGTAGAGCAATTAGTAACACGGTGCGCAATTAGGGGGTGCCCTCGCATTGTGATTAATTTTGGGATTAGTGTAGTACTTGCAAAAAAGCTAATTAGGATTTAATTAATTAGGTGATTAATTACCCTCTCGGCGAGGCTATGGCTATCGGTGGCTTGCCCCCGCCTCGCCCTCACATGGATGTAGTCTTTGGCTGGCTCCGGCTTCTCCTCCGCCGCGTCGGCGTCGGCGTCGCCGTCGTCTCCGGCGCCGGCGGCGACCTTGGACCGCTTCGGGCTCGCGTTCGTCGTCGCCGTGGCCTGCATTGTGCATGGGGTTGGTGATCAGTGGAGATCGGAGAAGTGATGGAGAGCGGTGGTCGGAGTATGGTGTCGTACCGTGGGTAAGGATGAGGACGAGGCCTTGGGCTTCGCCGACGACTTGCGCTTCCGGGCGGCGGCGGCGGCGGAGGGCTTGGATGGTTGGTCGGCGGCGGCGGCGGTGGTGGGGTTCATGTCGGCCTCGGAGCTGTCCAATGCCGCGGCGGCGCCCGGAGGGACTTGCTGCTGGAGACACGGGACAGCCTGCCGCCGCGGCGGCTAAGCCACGGAACGGCGGCGGCGGGGCGGCCCGCGGCGGGGAGCTGAGCGGCGTGCTGTAGCAGGAGTTGTTGGCGCTGGCCCGCCGTGGCTGCAGATGCTCCCAAGCCGGCCGATGAGGTCGCCGATGGCCGCCATCTCGTCGCCGCCGCCGCCGCCCTGCGGAGACGACACGAGGGAGCTGAGCGCGGAGTCGAACTCCGCCGCGGCCGCCGCCGGCGCCATCATCATCATCTGCTCGGCGGCCGCCACTGCCCACGGCGGCATCATCGTCATCGTCCCGTACGCCGCGGCGGGCAGCAACGCGCCCGCACCGCCCGTGCCGGCGCCGGACGAGGAGGTGGAGAAGTAGTCGCCGGCGGGGAAGAAGTGCTCGTCGGCCATCGTCGTCGTCGGCGGCGTGGGAGAGTGGAGGAGGAGAGAAGAGAGAGAGAGAGGAGAGGGGAGGGGAGGGGAGGAGGCGGTGGTTGACCGTTATATAAGAAAGGAAAAAGTCCGTTTTACTCCCCTCAAGTATGACCCTGGAGCAAATAACCCCCTAACCTTTAATTTGGTTTACTTAACCCCCTAGGTTCCCAAAACCGGATCACTATTCACCTTTCTAATTTAATGCAAACCGCTTTGCTGATGTGGCACATGGATTAGGTGGTTTTGCTTACTAGGTTGGATCCAACGTGGAGAATTTTCACTTGTAGCCAGGTTTTACTTGCCAGGTGATGAGGCTACAAGGAAATTTGCACTTGACGTGGAAAGTGATGACGTGAGGATTTTTCATATGTCAGTTTTGAGACTACTGGAAGATAGCAGCAAGGTAGCAGGAGCAAGGAAGCACACCAGCCTACATGCTAAATTAACGAGTTGACATTCAGACTATTTATAACAAGTTAGACTGAAAGGTAATACCAAAATTTGTTCACCCTAACCAGATTCAATAACTTAAACTCAATCTACCTTACATTACACCTACCATTTCCACCAAATATTTGACAAGTACTTTATTGAAAAATATGTAAAGTATTCCATAAAAACAACACGCCATATGCAACCAAATCTTCACTTCTTTGTTGTGTTTGTTCTTGCAACTTTCATCGTTTGTCCCTTCTTTGTTATTGACAAGCTGCTGCTCTGGGATGGCAAATCAATCTGCACCTTACATGAAAAAAAAGATCATATATTTTGGGCACCTTTATTGTGATGGAATATAGTCTGCAATGTAGTTGCAACTTACATGAACTTTTTGCTGCGAAGTTCCTGCAGCTACAGATGGCCTAAACCTTTTCTGCGGCCTGCTACATTCCTGAACCTGCATTCAATGTAGAGATCAGAATCACATATGTCAATACTCAACCACTTATATATGTAGCATGTAAATTACTTGCCTCTCTTGCTCTCTCTTGTACTGATATCTTTTTTCCTGAATTTCCTTTCATCGGACATGTTCTAATGTTATGGGTAGTTTGCTTGCACTGGCTACATCTTCCTTTAGTGCCAGTTTTGGATAACTTCTTCCCTTTTTTTGCTTCCAATGGATCCCTCCTCCTCTCTTTCCGTGGCCTTCCTGGCATCTTGACATAACCTGGTGGTCCTGGCTTTGGATGACCAGTAATTGGCCACTGCATCATACCCTCCATTGGCATCATGCAATGGTCATATATTTTGTTATACACCTCAACACTGTAGCAATCTGCTATGTAATCTTCAGGTTGCTTTGAGCTCACAAATAATGCAGTAATAGCATGTGCACAAGGAATACCTGCCAATTGCCAATACCTACAGGAACATGTTCTCTTCTCAAGGTCAACTGTGTATCTCTTATCCTTATCAGTGACCTCAAATCCATCTTTTCCATTCCAAATGGCTTCACAGTTTCCAGATAAGTCAATGTACTTGTTCAACTTCTTCAAGATATTTGGACATATCCTACCTAGCCATCCTTTTGCTTTGCTCCTGTTCTGTTGTATCCTGACATAAACCTTGGTCCTTATGCCCTCAAACATAGATATGATTGGATGTGCCCTGATGTCAATTATCCAATTATTGAAGCTCTCACACATATTGTTGTCTACACTATCACAATTGGACCCTATCCTAAACCAAGCTCTACTCCAGTGCATAGGTTCAGTGCTCATCATGTCCTTGGCACCAGCAGGAGTTAGCTGTGCAAGCTTGGTCTCTACAAAAGTTGAAAAATGGTCTACAAGATGCCTTGGCACACTTCCAAATGGCTTCTGGAATGCTTGATCCCTATACTTCTTCCTCCAATTAGCATAGATGTGTCTAGTGCACATCCTGGTGCTCAATTTGTGGCCAAAATTCCTCAACTGCACTTACAAGTCCCTACATTGGTCAAACGGAAACACATGAGGGGATTCAATATCTCATGTATTTTTGGTGGATCATATAAAAATAGTAGAATTCAAGATCCATACGTTTGGTTGGATCAGAAATAATAGCCCATCAGCTCCATGCAGGATCAATATCAGATCTTTTGGAGGTAGTCAATAAGCACTCCACGTGTCATTGACCCTTCGCGACATACGGACCCATGCCTATCGATACATTAAATCATGGGGTCTCGTCGTATGCACATAGCAGCTCACCATTGCAAGCACCTTTGAAAAAACAACCATCTAGTCGTATGACTTTTCTGCATCCAGCTAAAGAACCTTTCTTGCAAGCATCAAAACATACATACATTCTCTGGAAACCCGGCCAATTGTATTCATGATCCAAACAAATAGCCACCGTGCTACCAGGATTACTCCTAAGAATTTCTGCTTGGTACTCAAACACTTTAGAGTACTCACCTCTACATGCATCATAAATCCTTCTCATGACAATACCCTTAGCTCTCTTAACTTTCGAGATGGACACATCAGCAAACATATCCAGCCTCACTGTCTTCTTCAAACTTTGCAGTTTCCATGATGGATTAGACTTGATGATGTGCTCGTACTTATCAGCAATTCTTCGGCTAGTAACCAATCTGTTATCTCTTCTCTTAGGGCAATTGTGCACATCATTGAAGGTTTTCACCTGAAACCAATCACAGTTTGTTCCATTTGAGGCAAATATGAACCATGGACAATCTTTCCATGAACATCTAGCTCTGATCTTCTTAGCTTCATCCTTGGGGAATCTGATATGCCTGTTGGTTACAAGACCATACTTGATTACTGCTTCCTTAAACTTTGCTCTTCCTGCAAATGTCATGCCTATTTCAAACTTAGGTGTGTGTGCTTTGCTATCATACTTTGGAAATCTACTCTTCCTTCTTATTGCTTCACCATCTTCTGCATCATCATAAGAGGCTTCTTCACTTGAGTCCAGAAATGGTGTATCAGTGTCATCATCCAGTCCCTTATCATCTTGTTTATTTGGTGAGTCACTGACAAGAACAACGTTGTCACTGGTTACAGTAATAGTGGCACATGGATTCTTCTTAACCTTGTTGGCATGCTCTCTATTTTCTTGTGCTTCCTCATCATCTTCAGATCTCTCCTCATCATCTTCAGCTATACCATCTGTTTCACTAGAATCTTCAGCATCACTATGACTGTCATATTCTTCCTCAATGTCATCTTCAACATCACTGTCATCACTGACTCCATTGCTAAGCACAACATTATCATCTTCGTTGTGCTTGAGTATTTCAGCATATATTTCAGCTACATCACCCATGATTATGCATTGAGCCATATATAAGCATTCCTTATCATCTGATAGTGCTTTCAGGCCATTGTTTAGTTCAGCACCCGGAAATAACCAATGGAAAATCACTTCATCTTCTTCACTTAGTGAAACATGGTCTCCAAGGTATCCTCTGATCTCTGGCAATGCCACCTTGTCCCTCTCTATGTATGACATCTCAGTTTGACCACCATTATAAACCACAGAATATCCATCATAATCAAATTCCCCACCAAAGTGAAACCGGATACAAAGTACATCCAAATTATCCATTACACCTAACATGGCAACAATGAGATCATCAGTAAACTTATCTTAAAAAATGAAACATTAATCAAGCAGCAATTATCTACCAAATCCTAAACAACTCATCCCAAGATAAAATAAAAATCAACCAAAAAACAGTCCCTTATACAGTATGAAGTGAGATAGCTGATGAACAACAACTTATGAAGTGAGCCACCCTCGCCGGGCGTCGGCTGCCACCCATGCTACATCGTCGATGGCAATGATTTGCTCCATTTCAGCATTTCCACTAGGTATGATGCCTGCGGTGCATGTGCCATCGCTCGCGACGGCTTCAAGACGCACACGCCGAGCGCCGGCATCTGACGATGGATAATGAGCTCGCAAGAAAAAAAAACAGCAAGGGATAGCAACAACCTAACCCTCAGTAGTGCCCTACCACCAACGAAATCAACCAAAAAAATTTCATCAACCAACTGCCACACGCACTTATTATCCCCTTCTAGAACAACCCTAAACCTAAAGCATGCCAAGATCGAGTGGGGAGGAGGGAGGGAGGAAGGGAGGGAGGGGGAGGGACACACCACGGGGCTGCGATCTCACGGATCAGCACCGCCTATCTGAGACGATCATCACCTGGATTCTCCGCCGTCGGAAGGGAGAGAGGAGATGATGAGAGGACTTGTGAGGGAGAAGAGTCCAACGCATGGAGGAGAATACGACGTGTGATTAATCTCCCAGGTTCTCTTTCTCCACGTTAGATCCAACCTAGTAAGCAAAACCACCTAATCCATGTGCCACATCAGCAAAGCGGTTTGTATTAGATTAGAAAGGTGAATAGTGATCCGGTTTTAAGAATCTAGGGGGTTAAGTAAACCAAATTAAAGGTTAGGGGGTTATTTGCTCCAGGGTCATACTTGAGGGGAGTAAAACTGACTTTTTCCTATAAGTCAGGAAAGGGGGAGGGAAGTAACCGTATTGGTGGGTGGGAAGAGATGCCGGCACGAGCACGGTAAATAACGCGCAAGAAAATATATATAGGAGTCAGTGGATGGACAGCGCGGTGGAATACGCTTTCTAGTGGGTAAAACGTAAAATGGAAACCACAGATACCCCCAAGTTTTTTTTTTGTAAGTGTGTGATTGACGCAAGGAGAAACGAGTAGATAAAAGGAAAATGAGATGAGCCACTTGCGTACAATTAATTAGATATAATTATTTTAGATATAAAAATAAATTAATATGATTTTCAAAATAATTTTCTATATAACTTCTTGTTTAAAAAAAATACAGTTTATCAGTTTAAGAAGCGTGCACGTGGAGAGCGATGAACTTTCTTTTAAAAAGAGAGGTGAAGGATCGCACCCAACCTTCCCCTCTCTCTTTTTCCTTTGAAATCACGACGGACATTCTTCTTTATTTCTTTTGGTTTCTTTGAAGGGTATCCTGGTTTACTCTTATATACATGTTGATTTGATAATAATTATGTATAATTTCTATGGTCTCTAATTTGAGTATCTCTTAT